ACTTAAATTAACATTCATTAAATCAAATAGAATACCGCACTAAAATTGAATTTTTAACAACAGCATAATATTGACAGACAAACTGAAGGATTTGCATTCTAAATCAAACTCCTTACAGCGTGCTATTTTCATTTTTTGTCTTGGGTTACAACAGGTACATGCATGCGTTGCGGATAATGATCATGTCAACAGATCTTGTTGATAGTGATTACACACAATCAGTGATGACACTGAGCAGTGATTAATCAAAACTAATTATTATTTAACAAAGCATAATGTGGGTAAAAATGTTTTACCATTAACACTCCAATACACAGTATTTTAATATTTCTAATCACAATCAGCAGTGTATGCTAGTATAGCATTTTATAAAAGACTAAACAAATACTTTAATCATTATTAAAAACTATTTCATTTTTAAAATCTTACTTAACAAAATTGGAAAATAATGTAAGAAACAACGGCGTTTCAGGTTTACAACTATGGACGATATCCAGATTTCTCTGTCTAGTGTTGATATTGTGATTGATATAGTTTAATTTGTACATAAGCATAGATTCTGATGTTTTCCATGGATAAGGTCATACAGTTAGAGAGGAGGAATTGTTGGAGCTTAACGATGTCAAGGATTTTGAGTTGTTTAAAAATCGGTGCAGATGACGCGGCGAAATCGGAGAATGTTAGAATTCTGGCGATCGTTTTCTGTGTACATTCTGTGTAGTAATACTTTTCAAATTTGAATAATATGTATACAAAAAGTAAAAGAGTGCGCCTAGGGACAAAGCGCCACAATCCTAGCAAAATACAGCGCTTTCTCCTCAGTAACTTGTTAATTTTGGCTTTATATGTATAGTTGTCAACTAACAGGCCATTGTAAAGGAGTAAAGATGAAAGGAAAAATTAAACCTGTATTTAAATATGTTACACACTGCCATTTCTACTGGTACACAAATATAGAGATTATTTAGTGACGTTACAGTTACTGTATTCTATATCACATCCTAAGGGAAGCACTGGAAACAAATTCATCTGTAAGTGAGATATTTCATTCATTTACATCGTGTAATAATTAATGTTCAATATCTACTATATAACAGTTATTATACCACAGTCTGAGTTATATTACTGATACATTCCTGATACCATATACAGCTATTTTAGATATTTATTTATATTATACCATACTGGTTTATTTCCCAATGTGTTTTTGTGAATTGTTACCATCCAAGTTTCTGAAATGAGCGTATTTGTGAATAATAAGAACTTGACTTGATTGTATAAAATACTAACGCAATAGTACAATGGAAATATAATAGTTTTTGTACAACACATATGCAATGTGATATGCTTCCTACATTAGTCATTGTGGTTTGCATAGATGTCCGCCATTTTAAAAATCTACCTTACAAAAAATTAACATTCATTAAATCAAATAGAATACCGCACTAAAATTGAATTTTTTAACAACAGTATAATATTGACAGACAAACTGAAGGATTTGCATTCTAAATCAAACTCCTTACAGCGTGTTATTTTCATTTTTTGTCTTGGGTTACAACAGGTACATGCATGCGTTGCGGAGATTGATCATGTCAACAGATCTTGTTGATAGTGATTACACACAATCAGTGATGACACTGAGCAGTGATTAATCAAAACTAATTATTATTTAACAAAGCATAATGTGGGTAAAAATGTTTTACCATTAACACTCCAATACACAGTATTTTAATATTTCTAATCACAATCAGCAGTGTATGCTAGTATAGCATTTTATAAAAGACTAAACAAATACTTTAATCATTATTAAAAACTATTTCATTTTTAAAATCTTACTTAACAAAATTGGAAAATAATGTAAGAAACAACAGCGTTTCAGGTTTACAACTATGGACGATATCCAGATTTCTCTGTCTAGTGTTGATATTGTGATTGATATAGTTTAATTTGTACATAAGCATATATTCTGGTGTTTTCCATGGATAAGGTCATACAGTTAGATTCTGTGTAGTAATACTTTTCAAATTTGAATAATATGTATACAAAAAGTAAGAGAGTGCGCCTAGGGACAAAGCGCCACAACCCTAGCAAAATACAGCGTTTTCTCCTCAGTAACTTGTTAATTTTGGCTTTATAT